ATAACCACTGACAAGGTTCCTGACTTGTGACAGATGTGGCAAGGTTACATTAGGGTTTTTTTTTTAGATCTCAACCCATAAGTAGGGTTTGTTTTGATAGTACTTATTCATCATGTCACTTTTAAGACCAGAAATGTGTGTTTGTTTGTAAGGCAAAGGGTCAGGTCAAAAAGATCACATAAACTTCAATTTTTTTTCTGAATTACATTAAAATGGCATGGCAAACCCATGTTATATTTTTCCAGTTCAGGCTCTGCACAACAAGTATATAATTTATCAGTCAAGTCTAGACAATATGACCTTTTTGGAAGCCCTTGTTTTTTTACATTTGGTATTACAAAGTTTGATTTTAAGGGTCAAATTAAAGCCTTTGTGGCCATACTCCTTTGCTCTTTTCTTGTGCTGTAGTAAAGCATAATACATTGACAATGTTGCAAGTAAATGAAATACTGCTTCAATAAAACTACAACAAACATATTTTGCATAATTGCCTGTAGCCTGAATTTATGAATTCATGTTAAATTTATATCTACATGCATGTTGTACCTGATTATCCAGAACTATGCATTTCATTAAAATCAATATACAAGCCAAATAGACAAACAATTTCAAATAAGAAATCCCTTGGGTGGTTTTAAAGACAGTGCAAATATATATATATATATATATATATATTACTATTTTTTATGGATACACATCTATGCAGTCTCTGTTGTAAATACTTAACCTGCGTCAACTTTGAAATTTTATAATTATACAGCGGTGGTTCGGTTTTTAATTTGTATAATGTTCGATCTAGATTGTTTTAGTTAAACCAGAATAGATTGATATGATTCATTTTACATCATCATTATTATACTGATGAGGGATATCAGTTATCCAAATTATTTATTGATACTTATATTTAATGTTCCCTTTTTTTTTAATATTGGTGTTGTTTTGTACACTTTTTTGGCGTATATATATATATGTGTATACAAATTCTCTTCTCCACTGGAAAACATGTCTCGTAATCATCTGTTGGTAGATTTAAACACTCAATGATGGGTAAATAGCAGCCTCAACATTCAAATATAACTGTAGACAAATATTTGAATGTGAAAGTTTATTGTAAGCCTTTTGAAACAAGCTTTAAAAGTTATATTAAAAAATTTTCATATATATATATACACTGTTAACAGATAAAAAAAATTATGTGTTGGAACTTTGTAAAGGAGTAGAGCCAGTAATCCCAATACTGTAGACCAACTTATTTTCGTGGATACTTTATTTCGCGTTTAGCCCTTTGTAGCCCATTTCGCTGCGATTTAATTTTACAATTTTCAATTTTACTTGATGCAGTAAGGAAGAAATATTCAAGTTTTACATATTCGCAACATCTTATATTTGCGTTATTTTTCTGCTCGCGAAAGTCGCGAAAATAAGTTGGTTTACAGTAAACAGCCTTGTAAATGTGTATTTTCTAAACTTGAATTGTTTGAGTAAATTTATATATATATTGTGTACATTGTATGTATTGCTAAATATATCATTTTTGAAAGTATAAGAAGAGAAATTGTATATCTGCTTCATATTTATAAATACATTACCATGAAATACGAATACAATGTAGATTTCCTTTTAGTCCATTTTTCTAGAAATTTGTCACCTTTCAACCTTTTTCTTGATTTAATATGTGGTGCCACCCCTCCCCATGGATTGATTGGTGTTTAACACACCTTTAAGCGCTATTGTGCTATTTTGTGGCAGTCAGTTTTTATTGGTGGAGGAAGCCCATTGAAATTTTTGTTGAAAAGTAAAAAATATAGTACATGTATATATAAAGAATATTTCAGCAAAAATATTTGTGGGCATGGGGTGGCACCACTGTTAATTTTTCATAAAACTGTCATACATTTTGCCATATTAAGCAAAAAGTCAGGTTTAATCCAGGGTTGCTATGTCTCGCTTTCGAGACATAAATGTTGCAGGCTCAACAAAAATCTGTATAACTGCTTATTTTATGAAATTTTCAAAGTTCAAAGCCCGTTATTTGGACATAAATCAGTGGAGCAGAACCAACCATCAACTTGATCTGTAACTCATCTTAATAGACTTGTATATTAAAAATTAGCTAAATATGTGAAGGCGTTTAGAAAAAAAGTCTGTAAAACTGTTATTTTCACAAAATTAGTCCAAAGCCTGTAATTTCAACAAAAATCAGTGAAGCTGAACCAAATGTAAACTTGATCTGTAACTCATCATAACAGACTCACATACTAAAAATCAGCTCAATAGGTGAAGGCATTTAGAAAAACAGTCTGTATACATGTAACTGCTATTTTCATGAAACTTTCAGTTCAAATCCCGTAATTTCAGCAAAAATCAGCAGAGCAGAACCAAGCGTAAACTTGATCTGTAACTCACCATTGTAGACTCACATACTAAAAATCAGCTCAATGTGTGAAGGCATTTAGAAACAAGAATGTGTCCATAGTACATGGATGCTCCACTCGCACTATCATTTTCTATGTTCAGTTAAAATTAGAAAGATCATATCATAGGGAACATATGCACTAAGTTTCAACTTCATCAAAAACTTTAACCAAAAACATTAACCTGAAGCAGGACAGACGGACGGACGAACAAACAGACCGAAAAACATAATGCCCCTAGGTGGGGCATAAAAAAGTCTTATTAACTTTTCGTTGTGGAATTACGGATAAGGGTAAAACTATATGGCCCGACAACTTTGTTGCTGGACCATAAAAATTAGGGTCGGAGGGTCTGAGGGTCTGTTCGCCCAGATTCATGTTTGCTTTAGCATGACTAGAATTTGTTCACTCTACAATGTAGGTCTGTTTGCCTTGATTCTTATATTATTTTGTTGTCTTGTTGTATAATAAAATAATACTTTATTTGAATAGAGTATGTTATAGCATGTTGAAAATTTCAGATATTTATGTTGTAAAATTATCCCCTGTCATGTCTTACATTCTGCAATTCGTACATGCATTGTTTTTACTCATTTCAAGCTTGCTAGTTTACTTCTGAGATTGCTATAGAATTAATCTCAGTTTACTTTAAAAAGTTTTATTTTCATTATTTAACAATGCACCAAAGATAATACACACGTAAATACAACACAGACATCATAATTATACCTAACAAGCATTCTAAATTACATGTTTAATAAACATTAATTAAAATATATTCTAAACAATAACAAATGTAACAATGAATCTTATCATTGCCAGGGTTTCAGCTAGGATTTTGAGGGCTTTAGTCACTTTTGCGCGAATTGAAAATCAACCTTTTTTTGGGTAAAAGCAATGGACCAAAGATATGTTTTACTAGCTATACATCTTTAAAGGACTTAGGCAAGCTCAGGCAGTTATTGCATAATTTGATAGATGTGGTGCTTAAATATAAAGATTATAATAAGATCTAATAAGGATCCGGATTTCTAGTTTACAATTTCACTTCAGTTATTTTCAGGGGACATTCCTGATCAACAAAAGTTGGGTTCCTCTTTTTTTTTAAACCAGGAATCACAGCACAAATGAAGCTGTAATGACTATTTCACTGTATAATAATTATCCTTCAGGCTTGTAAAAACGGTTAAATTGATATTTGGAATTCATTTCTGTAATCTTGGAACCAAGGATTTGTACAAATCCTTGTTGGAACGAATATAATGACTGTATAATGTAAATTAATCAAGAATAGATCACGTTTACTTTTGATTTTTAAACGAAATGAAAACGGGAAGTGACAGGAGGATAATAAATTCAGAATGAATCCGGATTCATCTAGGGATTGGTTCGTTTATAACAAAAGGCAGGAAATTATCATATTTCTAAATCAAGTTGCTTAGAAAGAAATATATTTGTCTCCTTCGTTTATTTTGATACTAAATGATTTCGTATTTTACATTTTAATTAAATGTCTAATTTATAAGAATACTTTCATGCATGCGCAGTACATAGTTAAGGAAGCAATTGTTTGGCTTCGTGGAAATATTTCTGAACGTTTTGAATAAAGCTCTTTCTCTGTAATCAAATTTGTTGAAAGTTTTTGATGAAAAGTTATATAAAAATTTGTTCATATGACGAAACTACGACAAACGAACTGCAAATTGTGATCGTTTGAGAAATATTGTAATTAAAATGCGAACTGTCCATGGGGGGAAAACATTTTGTTCAAATGACGAAACTTTGATAAACGAACTGCAAATTGTGGTCGTTTGAGTAATATCGAAATTGAAATGCCGACTGACCGATTTTACTGGGAAAAATAATTATGATGGTCAATATATTATGAGTTTTATTAATTAACGGATTAGTGACCCATCTGATGGCGATAAGCGGATTACCTGTAATCAAAACTTATAACACCTGTTGTAAACATTAATTAGATAAGGGTCATAAACTTGTCAAAAACATGAAGACAGGTAGCATTATAGTATTTTCATGCAAAAAATATTCTTTTCGTAAATGACGAAAATGACGAGCGCTATCAAAATCACTGATCATTGCTATCTAAAACAAACAATTAATTTAAAAATAAGTGTTGTTTTCAAAAATTTTGAGATACATGTACATGTATTGTTTTAAATATTTACCAAATAAATATCCGCATAGGTATATAAAAGCCTACATACCAGAAATATTAATATATTCTTTAAATAAGATAGAGCGAACAAACCCAGGGTGAACAGATTCTATATAGGCCATCCAACCCAAGGCGAACGACTTGATACAGATAGAGACGGTCGGGAGGCAGGAAACAAGCATATATTTTATTTTGGTCTCATGTAGGTATTCAAAATTTATGGACTGTTTTTAAACGGTATTTTTGTATTTGTATATGTATAATAATTTATGTACTTATAACACTTCACTGCAGTTTTAATTTTGCAAAAATCAGTATTTAAAATAATAATTTATAAAATTAAAAACCTCGTCCTCTTTCCTCATGATATCAGTTTATTTAACAACAACAATGTTAGTTGCACTTACCCAAGAGTTGATATAAATCCATTTACATTGCCTTCCGCATAGAGTGAAACGATGTCACCAAAATGTAGGACGGTAGCTGACATTTTTAAAAATCGTCTGCTTGATCAGAACAGGTCACGATTCTGGTCTTTCTATCCATACATTCTGTAAAATTAAATTGTGCATCAAGAAAAATTTTAAAAATTTAAAAAGCATATGTTGAACTCGACATTTTCAAAAGATAGAGTCTAAACGAATTATGACAATTACACTGAGGATGAAACGTTTTGTACCTTCCTACGATTAGTTGATTTGTTTTTCATGTGAAGAGACTTCCGCAATTTGGAGCGACATCTGGACAAGAGTATAAATTAAGAACTACAGTATCCGGCAAGTGTATCCGGATTGGCTAAAAAAGTGCATTATTATTTTCGGTCTGATCGTAGAATCCCCCTGGGCTTCATTACAACGGCGACGGCGAACGCAATTAGTCCCAACTGCAGCTATACAGTGCCGCGTTAATGCCACCAGTTGACTTTGCTGTCATATGCTGTCTTCATGGTTGTCAGTTCCAGTCGACAGCAGTTTTGATGAAGAATGAATTCTTGTATTGGTAGATTACTAAATGTTGGATTTTGACTGTTTTTATGTTTAATAGGATTGTCTTTCTACAATGTTTGATGGATTCAGTCGAGGATTATGCCAGGCAATGGGTTAAACGCGAGAAAGAAGACGTAGATACTTGTAAGATTTGAAATATTCAAATTTTAAATATAAGTTAATTATTTATTAATTGTTTAACTAACGTATTCATTTATTCTTGTAAGAATACGAAACACAGTTTTTACTATTTATTTATGAAAGCGCTAATGTAATGTTGCGCTCTCTTCGTCGTCTAGACTTTATTTGATTACATACGGATGCACATGGTTTTTATTAGACAGATTATAGTTGGTAAGAAACCTTTTATGTATACTATCTTTTTATTAAATCAAAACTTATTTAAAGAGAGAAAACATTGTATACTATTTATTAGAAATATGCGTAACTTTTAATTATTATTTTAAACGTAATTTAACTTATGAGAGAACTTATGATACATGAATGAAATGGTTTTTATTGTACGTTTAGTTTAATGTGAACACTTAAACATGTATCTTTTTATAATTTATGTATTTTTAAAATGGCTACCGATAGACGGAATGAAGACTTTCTGGACTTCGGTGATGTAAAACGGACTCGTAGTACGAATTTAGCGCAGCTTACTAAATTGTACAAAGAATTTGAGAAGAAATTTATTTCTATTCCGTTATATTTGGAATTTCCCTATTCTATTTCTATCTTTAGACTTGTGGTACAAGTTTGGCTAGTATGTAAATCAGAAGCGGTCTGATGTTACTGTTGTTTTCTGCACGAATATTTCGAGGGCGGTAGTACGGGTGGGGTTTTATAGGCATATATAAGTCCTGATTACGTTTGATTATTATCGATGTGCTCCAGTAACTTTGATAGACGAAGTTAACGTTAAGCTCTGCATAATATGTCCGAGGAAGGCTCCGACCATGATGAACGCCGTGCTACTACTCAACATGCTGAAAATAGTAACGAAACAGAGTTAAGTACGGACGGGGCTATTTCGCTTTTCACTTCAGCTTTAAACAATGCTTTAGAGAAGCAAAAACATTCCTTGATTAATCATTTCGAAGCTCGTTTAGGAAAAAGTGTTAAAGCAACCGGTGTCGACCAACCAGAATTTGTATTCCAAAGTGAGGGAATTAAAGTGCAACATTCGTTTAATACCGAGCGTCTGGAGAGGCTTGCTGCCGTTGAAAGTTGTATAAAGCTTGGAAACGCTTCCGAAGTTAGTGAAATTATTACCCAGGAAAAGGAAATCATCCGTAAGCGTAACAAAATTCTAAAGATAGCCGACAAGCATGGATGGGACACGGTTAAAGAGTACTTGGATAGTCCGTTGGCCGACAATAAAGAAGATGCTAGTGATTTGCGTGCTGCTATTTCCAGGGCTTCTCGTAAAAGAAGTTCCAAGCCGTACAGTAAACCAGAATCTTCCAATAGTGGTTCCGGAAAAGGAGAATTCAATTCCAGGAGTTTTTTTCGTGGCCTTGGCCAAGTCAGTGATACCGAGTTCTCCAAAGCAGGCAAGTCAGAAAGTTACAAGTGTTTCTATTGTAACCAGCCCGGGCACTTTGCAAGGAACTGCCCCGAAAAAAGGATTCCTACAGCGACAGTTGGTGCACCAAAGTTCCAGGAACAGAACACAGGAAAGACCCAGTAACAAAACAGATACAGACATAGATGAAGTTGAGTATTGCCAAGTTTTCAATTTGTTAACAAGTATGAGAAAAAATCTTGTCAAAATCTTATAAATGTGAAAGGAAATTTAAGAAAACATGCATTGTTTTGGAAAAATGTACTTAACGCTAATGATTTTATAATGAATGTTATTAATTTTGGTTATAGAATTCCTTTTCTGAGTGAACCACCGACTATTTTTCTAAGTAATAATAGATCCGCGTTAAAACACTCAGAATTTGTGGAAAATTCTATTGAAGAACTTTTAACTAAAGAATGTATAAAAGAAGTAAATCGACCATTTGTCGTTAATCCACTTACTGTGTCGGTAAATAGTACGGGTAAAGAAAGATTAGTCTTAGATTTGAGACATGTTAATAAATTTGTCGAGAAACAAAAAGTTAAATTTGAAGGGGTTAAAGAAGCTATGACATTTGTAAATTTTAGCGGTTTTGGGTTTAAATTTGATTTAAAGTCTGGTTATCACCATATAGAAATTCACCCTGATCATCAAAAATATTTAGGATTTTCTTGGCAATATGGTGATACAGTGCGTTATTTTACTTTTTCGGTTTTGCCTTTTGGACTTTCATCAGCTGGTCATATATTTACCAAGACAGTACGTGTGTTAGTTAAATACTGGAGATCTTTAGGATTTCCCATGGTGGTTTATTTAGATGATGGTATGGGTACAGCAGAAAATTTTGATACATGTTTTGAATTATCGAAAACAGTAAAAAAATGATTTACTGCTTTCCGGTTTTATTGCTAATACAGAAAAGAGTGTCTGGGAACCAGTACAAAATATTGATTGGTTAGGTTTTGTTTGGAACTTTAAAGATTGTACTTTAGAAATATCGCTTAAAAAATTATTTGCTTTAAAGCTGGTAATATCGAGCGTAGTAGATGGCAAAACTATTTTGACTTATAGATGTATTGCTAAAATATGTGGAAAAATCATTTCTATGATTCCTGCTCTTGGTAACGTTTGTCAAATGATGACGAAGCATATGCATATGCTAGTCTGTTGTAGATCTGCATGGGACGATGTCATCCCTATAAATGACAACATTTTGAAGGAACTAAAATTTTGGTATTTTGAATGCGAGTCATTATCTTTCCAACGCATTGTACCTATAAATAGAATACCACAGCGTGTAATTTTCACTGACGCTAGTCAGTATGCCGGAGCAGGGTTTATAACGAATGATAACAAAATTGTACATTTTATGTTTGATGGTCATGAAAGAAACAAAAGTTCTACATGGAGAGAATTGAAAACTGTAGAAAAGAATATTTCTTCCTTTAAATCTGATTTAACAGGAAAATTTGTTAAACTTTATACAGATAACCAAAATGTAGTACAGATTGTTAAAAAAGGTAGCATGAAAGTAGAATTACAAGACATTGCTTTAAGCTTATTTCATATTTGTTTGTCACATAATATTTTCTTGGATGTTGAATGGATACCTAGAGATAAAAATACTTATGCAGATTATCTGAGCAAAATTTTTGATTATGACGATTGGGGTGTTTCCTATCAAATTTTTATATATTTTGATAAATTATGGGGACCATTCACATGCGATCGTTTTGCAGATTCGAAAAACAAAAAAGTAGACTATTTTAATTCTAGATATTATTCATTAGATACTTCCGGGGTTGATGCTTTCGCATATGATTGGTCTGCTCATAATAACTGGTTAGTTCCACCAGTTTGTTTAGTTAGCAAGTGTTTAAATCACATGCGGTTATGTAAAGCTAAAGGCACTTTAGTTGTACCTAAATGGCCATCAGCGTTATTTTGGCCTATCTTAGTGAATAGGTTTTCAGACAGATTTAAATCTTTTGTTATAGACTTTAGAGAGTACGTAAAACCTATGAACTTTTTGACAAAAGGTTCACAAGAAAAGAGTATATTTGCACAGAGACCTTTTAACAGTAATGTATATGTTTTGTTGTTGGATTTCTCGAAGTATTGAGATTTATGCATTGAATGTTGTATACAGACTGTAGTTGATTTAGTTTTCTGCGATGGTTATTTGCCGCAGTTATCAGATATGAGACTATATTCGTAAGAATGTTAAATTTAACATTGTGATGTTTTAACTGCAACAATTAGATATGTCATTGTTAACGTTGTTGATTAATTGTTTATGAATACAGTGAGGGTTAATGCCACTGTATATATATAAGTATATGACTTTTTTAGATACTGTGAGGTTGAATGCCACAGTAAGTGTGCGAGGAAAATGCCGCATTCATTTGTTTGCGAGGAAAATGCCGCACTCATTTGTTTGCGAGGGAAATGCCGCATTCATTTGTTTGCGAGGGAAATGCCGCACTGGGTTGTTTGCGAGGGAAATGCCGCATTCATTTATAGTAGTAATGTTAATTATATTTACTTTGTTTATAGTTATTACTTGGTATTCATTATTATATTTATTTTACAGATCAATGGAAACAATTTCACTGAAAATTTAAATTAGTCACTATGACTATTCAGTTAGTCAATTATTAGCCGAAAGGTAGTCAACAGCATATATGACTACTAATCTAGTCATTGTGACTACCTGCGCGGTCAATTTGACGATGTTAGTGGTCACAGCACCACGTGGTGTAGAGTATCGGTTTTCACGCGCACTCTTTCGCGTTCCCTTTGTTCCCTAGATCGTGTAGATGTAAACAAACCAGGAGGCACGAAACTGTTATTTTGTCAATTAAACCAATTGTTTAAAGTAAGTATCATGTATATATGTTTTAATTCTAACTTACAAAAATTAAATTTCAGAAAGAGAAGTGTAATGAATGTAATATCGGCACATGTTGACGTAATGACAATAAAAAAGGGGGAGATATGTATACGGGATATCAATTTTGATACACATTCAACGTATTGTCGATTGAAAAGAGTATTTAGCGATATCTTTTTTTCATCTGACCAAAAACTGTTAAAAATAAACACTGCAATCGATATTCACAACAATAAATTAAAAAAAATCCTCAGGGTGGCTGTCAAGATCCTGGTGCTTACATTACAATGCTGTGATAT